GTCACCTAGGGTGCTCCTTGAGCTGTCCTGTGGGTTGTAGTATGATTTGTTTGTTTTGTGCCTTTTTGCTCATTCTACCTAATAGTTTATCTGCATGAAAAATAAAGGGAACAAATATCATGGCCTACACAGGGACATATAATGTTATTACACCACGTCATAACTTTTATAGTTCCATAATGTAGCTACACTACTTCATTGATGACTAAGTAACAGAAAGAAAGGGATTACAAATGACTCCCTGTCCCAGTATATAGATATCTTCCTGGATTACTGGTAAAAACACATAATGAATCCCAACATTTGGTCTTAGGAGCAATTTCTTAGTTGCCCTGCAGGGGGTGCTTGCCTGCTTGGGGATGATGGGTTTGATCATTTCCAGTCGCTTGATAGTTTCAGGAAAGCATCCTATATTTTGGGTAGCGAGCTGTGGGAGGATAAATTTGGTTCTTTGCTTGGCCCTGTTAAAGGTTTTATTTTGGATGTTCAGGAGCTAAGAAAGATTAGGTTATACAGCGATAATCCAAGCGTACAACAGACCCAGTCTCAGATTGCGTCTGTGGAGCTGCAGGGTGTCGCTGGTTGAAGGGGTGAGTTGAGGTGTCTGGGAGGTGAGACAGACACCGCATGTTCATATAGTGTATGTTCGTTTGTTAACTGTTCCGCCCATTGCTCTGGGTGCGTGGTCTATGGCCCTAGTGCTATGGCAGCCACCTGAGTATTATTATTATTATTATCCCAACATTTGGCCACTACTATACACTATAAATTACTTATTGATATGTGCTTGTGTACTTACATAAGTCAAGTGGTGTGTTTGATAGACTCCCATAACATGGTAACCTCACAAATTGTATAGTAATGGCAGCTTTTTTTTTATCAATGTTAAGGCAGGACATGGACGGGCCCATCAGGCAACAATATAGGGATTGTGTGATGGGGTTGGGGGTGTCAGCGTGCTCAAATCTGTTCATTAACCATGCTTCATGTATCCCATCCCTATCTTGTCTCCCTTTCTTTTTATACCATCCATGCCTCTTTTTTTCAATTTACTTACAACAATTTTGAGCCTCTGCGTTACTTTGTGCCCCACCTTGTAACTAACACCACTACGGTCTGCTCGAGGGGTCCGACACGGGTGGAATCTCGTACGCTTATGGTCAGAAAACCGTAGAACTCAGTAGATATCAGTTGGCAATCAACGGAAATCAGCGGAAATCAGAAATCAAATTTCCGCGTGCGCGTACTGCTCCGTAAAGCTCTGTAAACAGCTACAAGGCCGGCCCCGCTGCGGCGCACGCGAGCCGCGATATCCGGCCGGCCGGCCACATCGCGCGGGTACCGCTCGATCGAGAAGGTGTGCGTGTGGTGTGTGGCTCTGCCTGGTTATGCGCACATCCTATCAGGGTAGGGTCTTGGCCTTGACATAGGTTTGCTCAGGTGGAAATGCCAGGATAGCAGCCGGAGAGGCATGTGAAATAGGAGGGCAAAAGAAACTTGTAGAAATTCCCTTGGGACTCCAACCTGGGCTTGAACCTAATGCTCGAGAAGAGTATATCTCTGAGAACATGAATGACCACACCAACAGTTGTACCTTACAGGCACAAAAGTGAAATTGTTTCTTGCAGCTGGCTGTTTCTGTCGCCGGCTATAACCTAAATTTCTCACGTGCGCCGGCGACAGTATTAGAGTCCTCAGTGTTCCGTGGCGCATGACTATCATACTGTTTGTGCCAGTAAGGGAACTCCTCTTGAGGGAGTGTACAGTTATAGCTATGTAGCAGTAAACCCTCGAGAGACCATAGCAATCAATCTAGAAATTCATAGAAATCACGGAAATCTGAAAATATTAGTCGAAATCACGTGGAGATCTGGAAATCAGTAAGAAATCAGTTCGAAATCACGGGCATATAGAAATCTCATACGCCATAACGGCCCGTGTCGGACCCCTCGGGTCTGCTTATGAAAATCACCACTGAGTACAGAGACGCTATAACCAAATTACCTACTTGGCTGGTCAGTCTTTGTCACTCTGGGCAGCTGTCAGCAGCCATTAGTTACTGCTCCGTGTATAATTATACCATGCTGGTTTTTCAGTGTCCCTGCCTCCCCAACCCATCATGCTCTTTCTACTGTGCATCATTGTCAGGCAGTGGTCAACAATTTTGTCAGGGTCAACCCCTTTATAACATATCCATGCAAGTCAGAGTGACCAATGCTGTGTAGTCTAAAAATAAGTGGAAAAAATCGTTTCTTGAAGGAGGATATAGGGATGGCTCAAAACAGAAAAAGGAAGAAACAAGGGGTCATCACTTGGCTAAGACACATAAAGTTACATGACCATCCCTATATCTTTGTTCTCTTTATTCATAGGCAAAAAACATCAGACAAATATATAGGGATGGTGTCGTGTAGCTTTGTGTGTCTTAGCTGTGTGATGACCCCCCCATTTTCATGTTTTGAGCCATCCCTATATCCTCCTTCAATAATGGAAGAAATGATTTTTCCACTTGTGGAGTTACTGTCGGGACTTACACTGAAACATAGTTAAGCGAAACTTACTAGTAGGCGAATGCAGGGCATATGTATTTGGCGAGCGGGAGCGGCATGGCGTTGCAGTACTCGGCAGTGGAACTCAATGATTATGGTGAAACGCCCACTTATATAGGCAAGATACCGGATATTGAAAATCAACCAGTATGAGTCATTATGACAGTCATTACACAATGATTGTGTCTCCACAAGCCATCCTATCCTATTAACAACTTGCACCTTGAAACCACGAAGATTGGAAAGAGTTAAAGCCTCAGTCAGGCTCGAAGAGTGCAGTGAATACGTCAAATCGACAAGGGTTCTCTCGCTGGCTAGATCACGCATCGAGGATTGAGCTTTCAGGGATCTAGCCTCGTTCACTGTCCGTTTTTTTTGCGGGGGAGTAAAAACGGAATGGGCTTGGGAGGGATCGATCTAGGCAGTGTGTAAGTAAAACAAATGCATGCGCAATTGAACAGTGTAAGGGCATGGTACCCAACATCATACATGTATGAGGCTATGATAGGGAGTTTTGTTCATCTTCTTCTTTTTCTTCAACTCAAAAACCAAACAACATTCTTTTGTAAGACAATAGACAGACTATAACCCGAATAGAATAGACATACTTTTTGGTTTGTAAACAATGTTGTTTATGGTAAACAACAACAAATTGCACTATAATGAGCATACATGTGTCAGTGAAAGTCACAAATGGTAAGAGCTATGTAAACTTTGGTTACTCAATCACCAACATCAATACATTTTCGTAAACACCAAAATTTAGCCTCAGGCACTATTCTTTAAAATTACTTCTTCACTCCTCAAACTTGCTAAGAGTAGCATGCATGGAGATGAAGAAACTTTGTACGCATGCTAGTACATCGTTTCCATGACGACCACATACTGTTTTAACAACGATTAATAGCCTCAGGCCCTCAAACTTGTTAACGGTAGCTCACATGAAGTATGCATGCGTATCACATTGTTTCAACGACGACCAGATAATTATTGTTTGCGAAGAACATAATAAATTATTTACATGACGAGCACATATTGCTTGAACAACAACATAGTCAAAAACCCGAGTGGAGACATGTAAATAACACTGCGAATTATTAAAGGATGGTATAAAAAGAAAAGGAGACAAGATAGGGATGGGATACATGAAGCATGGATTTTTTAGCATGCTGACATCATCACACAATCCCTACATTGTTGCTTAGAAGTATTAACAATTAACACCAGCCACACAGACACAAATGTGTCCAGAGCCTCCACAAGTCCATAAGAATTTATATGGGTGTTATATTACTAGGCGCTAACAATACATCAACTTATTAGAGCAGATTCCCACAGCGTCCAAAGTGTTGAACTCCTTTACGTCCAAGAAGACAGACATGCAGAGAATTAAGCCTAGCGTGGGAAAATCAGAGTGGATTTGTCTCCAAAGACTGTATAGGTGAGAATCTGTTAGATATTATTGCTGCCGTCAGCAATTGACGACTTCTTTTTTAATGTAGCTACGTACAAGGTGCACCTGCAGTGCGTGTAGGCTTGTGCTGCATGACATAAGTAGCTCTAGCAAGTCTCCAGCATAACTGTGAGTCCAACAAAAAGCTAAGTGATTCGAGTGATTATGAAGCTCAGGAGACTCAAGACAATAGAAGGGTCCTTGCCAATAAAATGATTGAAATCGCCCGGACTTTGTGTGCTGTCGGCGATATTGCAGCAGAAGTAATCGAAAGAGCAAAAAGAATTGTTGACAGCATGAATGTAATTAAGAGGGATAGGCGATGATATGCTAGTGTGGTCTCAATCTAGTATGACAGACGATTTGTATTGGTCTATTCCTATTGATAACCGTCACAGTCAATGCAAAATTAATGACGTCATTCAGCACCCACGAACTTAATTAGTCGCAACAATCTTAGCGTTATGACGACTTCACATACTCAGACCCTCTTCCATTCATGCCAGAGACTAGCTATGGACCCGGTGTTCTATAGTTGAGGTAAGCCAGTGTTGATTAGCATAATCCTGGCTTGTTCACTTGCTATTCACGCCATAACTTTTGAATGCAGTACAATACTTCAGAGCGAGTTAAGCAAATTTAGCCCTGAATCCGATGGTTATCTCTACTTGGAAGAACCGAGGGTTAAAACAATGCAATCAGAGACACAAACTGCAGACACCCTACAAATTACAAATCATCACAGACTTAGAGGTACTGAAGAAACCAAAGACTACACCCATTGCAGACGCCACAGACCGTCTCAAGACACCACATACACCAGATTGCGCAAACAGAGAGCGTATAGTCAGGCACTAACACAACAGTAGACAACACCAGCACAGCAGGCACACAAGTAACTACAGTCACCGCATATTCAACTATGACATGCCTGAAACCTCAGTGTTACTCTATTGTACTCCTTATCTGCATTGCACACACACACAAATTCCTTATCTGGGTTCCACACACACAAGTGTTGCTATAGCAGGTGGAGTAGGATGTACAGCTGGCACATGCAACACACAAAAAGATTACATGCTATCCCAAGCCGGAGATTAATTTTTTGAAGCAAATGCTGTACATAATTGTACAAACACTGTTAAAATAAAAGCTCTACATTCTGAAGAAAAATAACAGACTTGGTGTTTTTAAAATGTCTAAGAAAGTTTTGATCGTAATGAGACTTTTCAACCCCATTCACTACCGCGTCAGAGAGGAAAAACAGTTTACAGAGACCAATAAACACGTATGGTTCATCCCATGGTGAAAAACTGCTTGAACACATATGACCTTCAAGCTTTTCCATTAAAGCAGTAGCCTGACTCTGCACTTGCTCGGATACTCTTGCAAGAGTTTCTTTCACGTCCTCAGAGTGGCTAGCAAGGAGCGTCTCTATGGCCCTGCAGGCATCTCTCAGTACACTGATCTCCTCCATGTAGTTATTGAGTGGGTCTTCGTCAAACAGCACATTCTTATTCTCCTTTTCAAGCGGCAATGACTCGTGCCCTACTAGGCGCAGTAGAATAGTGAGGGCAGTTTGTGGGTGACGATGCAATACAAGAGGGAGGCACGAAAGGTACAACTGAAGAGCTGATGATGAACTTGGATGACTTGTGATTCCCACGTCAAGAGCTGTTTAAAAGATTAATGTCAACTCAGAATACAAGTACAAATGACAAACATGCATGTACACTAGCTACATACAAAAGGAAGATAACATAATATGCCTACCAACTGAATGTGATAGAGAGGAGAGGATTATTCCTACTGAGGTGGCCATATCATCTCGAACTTCCTCATCTCCATCTTGCAGTAGAGACACAACCAACACAGTGTATGCCTCCACAGACCCCAATAGCCTCTCCTGGCAGTAGTAAAGATCGAGACCTGATCTAACATGGTGCTATTATATGGTTACAGCTACCTCTATTAGAATCCTCCACAGTGTGCCTAGCCCAAGAGCTACTGCTTGTCTCAGTTCCACAGGTGCGGTCGGGAGGGTGTATGGTTTCACTAGCAACAACCATTGCACAATCATCTATGAGATCAGAAAGCACAACATCCCATAAAATCAGAAGGTGTAACTATGGGCATTATACCTCGGGGTCACAGCATTTCTCCAGCAAAGAAGCCAGGAAGAGTATGAGGGAAGCCCTAAACACCAGCCTGAAAGATGGAACAAGAACAAATGTGATCCGCTACGGGAAAAGGGCCTCTTTTCAGCATAGTTGTAATTTTCATACACGTGAACTATGCCTAGCTACCTACATATTTGCGCAAAAATCTTTGAAGTGTACCACACATGAGATACGATTGCGCAATATCGCTAAAGTAAACACCCTTTTACACATGGGAAAATGAGAATTTCCTGAATATCTAGGCCATCGTGCGATCCACAATACCTTAAATGTCCTTGAGTGACATGATGCATAGCCACTACACATAGTTTCTCTCGTGTCCTGGTGCACCACGCCTTTTGTTTTGTAAGAATTTCACACAGCACTGCAAGAATTCCTTCATCTTGTTCAGTAGAAAACAGCTGGATTATTACTGTGGTCAACTCCTCTGCTGTGTCACTACTTAATAGATTCTTCTGGTCCAAGATGTACTGTAGAGTGTAGTGTCTGACAGCTGCAGACTGATGTAAAATAAGTTTATGGCAGAGCTCAGAGAGCTGTGGTAAACCTAAGCTACTTGATGTGTATTGAGAGGCAGTCAAGAGTAGTTTGGCACTGGACACCAGTACATCTTCTTGCAAGAGAATTCCCCCATTTGAGGAGGCAAAAACGATCTCATCCACCTCTTGAGAAAGAATGGTAGACTCTAGAGACGAGGAATGTTGCAGCAGGTTGGTCACCAGTTCCAGATAGGCACATCTTGTAACCGAGCAATGATTGTTTCTAGTATTAGTAAGGCATAATAGTCTAGATCCACACATACACATACTGAACTCACTCTGTGCCAAGAGTTCTTTTCGTAAGCAAATTCTCCAACAGCCATCCACTCAGCCAGGAAACACCCAGTGACTTCTGGGTACAGCAATTCAGCAGATCTCTCCTCTCCTGAACTAGCCTTTGCAGTATCAGAAGGGTAGTGTGCAGACTGTTCTGATCTTCTGTAGTCATCATCCTCAGAAGGTTGTGCAACACTCGCTTCATATTGTTAATGGTGACTAGTGGCACCACTGCACGGCTTATGAGAACACGGGTTTTCCAGACTCCACATGAAGAACACCTGACAAGACGGAGAATACTGTATTTCCTCGAAAAAACACCGCACCTCCAATAGTAGCCGCTCTCGTATGGACACCACGAATAGCCAAGGACGAACATAATAGTAGCCACACTTTGCGCATGCGCGTTATGCACCTAGTGTGGAGCGTCGATCGAGCAAAGGCATAGGCCGTGGAAGTGGCAAGTTGCGGTGCTGCTCTCTGATATAAGGTTACCACATGGATTTATAGACGTGATGACCACGAATAATGGACGGAAAACACTGCGAGGTCTCATGACACCACTTTCGCGCTGCTGGTTTGGAAGATGAACGTTGTCCTCGAATATACGCTACCCTTGAATAAACAGCCACGTAACGCTAAAATTACTAGTAGCCGCGGTGTCTGATCAAGGAAATACGGTACACAGAGTATTTGTGGGAGGACCAAGCAGAAATATCATACCTTAGAAAGAGAGGAAGGAAGGAATGGAGGGAACCAGGGGAGCTAGGCTCATCGAGGGTGGTAGGATAGAGACGAGACAGGATTATCAACACAGGAAACAGAGAGAGCTGGGCAGCAGGCTGTACATTGCTGCAACTGCATTACATGAATTTAGATAGAGGCTTTATCAGGCCAAGAGCTATGGCAGACCTCGACTCAAGTCCTTCAGCTGCTTTTTGTAGCTGCTGGTGGAGAAAGCCATGGAGAGAGGGAAAGCGAGTGAAAAACTCGCGGGCCGTCATCTTATTCTCAATTGAGTGTTCGTCCTGCACTCTCTTGGCTCCAAATATCCTCAGAACCAAGGCCGAGAACAACAGTGTGGCCGAGTTACGAACCTGGAGCATGACTATATCAGTGTAAGACATATACTAACTTGTCCAGCTTACAGGCCATAATGAAGCAGAGAACCCATCTACGGCTATCTTCACCCCCTCTGGAATGAAAGGAATGATGTGCTCTCCTAGTCTTGAGTCCCGGTAAAGAGCTCTCAGAATGTTCAGTGCATGAACAGACGCTGAGTGGGACTCAGTATAACCAACAGTGGGATCACTAGTGCTGCTCTCTCTGGGAACCACATCGCTAGTAGTCTTGTAAACTGTGGCCACTGAGAGCAGTGTTCTCATGGTCTCCTTTAGGGCACTGTCTACCAGCATGACTTGGCTCTGAAGTCAATATCGCCTATAAAAGAAATTAGATTTATGATAAACACACATAATATGTCACGAAATACCACAAACCTGCAGGTAGAATGGCAAGCCAGCACTACGTCTAGTAATGCTCAAAAGTCGACTCATGGACTTTGACTGCAAAGATTCCAGTAGTTCTGTCACCCACTGACTGGGCATGTGGTGAAATCGAGGGGAAGGGCTACCCCAGAGGCTCTGGCAGAGCTTCTGGAAGCCAGAGTACGCCATCTCAAAAGCCCCTCGGTGCCTCGCCTCTGTCAGCTGGTGAGTGAATATGCTGGCAATAGCATCAACCTATGTGATAAACACACAATAAGGCATCGTACTGCGAAACAGTGTTTTGTGCACACACCTGTGTAGGGGTGAGGAGACTGTTAGGGTTATCTGAAATTGGAGCCCATCCAACAAGGAGTCCCATGAGAAGAGAGATCTCCTTCATGGCATGCCAGCAGCACAGGAGGAGAGACTGTGCACCAGCACCTTTTACTGCTGGTGTACCATAACGGTTATCAGCTGGTAGACCCTGCAAAATGGGGAAAAAACAGACACATACAATAAAACTACAGGAATGAAACACATTTCTGACGAGCGCAGTGAGCACTTTAACACTTCATGCATATTTGGAATCACGTAAATATTACAGTACGTGGAGTCGTTTCACTGCTACAGAGTATTATTTACTTGCTTTTCACTGCTTGTACAGCGCTAAGAGTTATAATTTTTTTCTAACTATTATTAGATGGGTATTAAACAAGTACTCTCAGGTACCGTTTCACCATTATGCACCACACTCATGTGTGTGTGAGTGCGTGTGCATGCTAAGGCAATGGGCAAATGTTATCAATTTTATCCTGGCTCTTATCAGTCAAGTTGTGTTAAGAAACAGAAGGAATAGCACTCTCAGGGATTCCACCATTAACGGCAATGCACTGATGGAGAAGAGTCTCCCAGAAAGGATGGCGCTCGACTCAAGTTGCGAAACGGTCAGTCCACGGGACGTGTCAGATTTCTTTTAGTTTTGAACCAAACGTGACCGGAGTATCATTGTAAATTTACTAATTTTTGTTCCGAACAGTACAGCCTTCTATATGGATGCCATTATGCTGCTGCAGGGAACTACATAATTAATGCATCTGACATTAATGTTCAGTCGTTTGGAGGTTCGCACAATGATGCCGTAGCCATCTACGATAGTGGCAAGCAATCTGATGTTAGCAATAAAATGATCAGCTCCTTTTTTCAAACATGTACAGGAGATGGAAGTCAGCAATACAAACTGCACTGTCAGTTTTCAAAACTCTAATAACAGCTTCCAGTTTGCAAAGAATAAATCTACCAACATCTCGCTAAATATTCAGACAGTATATTAACCCAGTATATGCACTCTCTTAGCAAAAAGCACCATACATGTACTATATAATGCCAGTAGAGTACAGTCCACCTGAGTGAAGATTACAGTTATATTTTTCTCATACTTCACACCTCCACACTTAAGGATGCTGCTGTGGTCTTGACCCATGCAGGTTTTTAACTAAATTGTCGTAATAGTCATGACTACCAATAATACTCTTTCATGAAAGTAAATCACTTGCACAAGGGTGGAATGTGTAGTAAAAAATCACCCTTATTATTACGCGACACTCCTGTCAGGACACAACATCTTATTAACCCTCGGCGCGCATGCGCAGCGAGGGTTACAGTACTTGGGTCTGTCTGTGTGTCTGTCAGTCTGTCTGTTACTCTTCATCTCACTTCTCGAGTGTTCTTTCGTCTCACAAAGGATACCACCTACTGAACGGGCAATGAAGGTCAGAAATTTCAAACGGTTTTCTCTGAAACTGCTCCGTTACAAAGCTAGAGCGCGAAAAAGCCAATATGCAAATACAAAACGGACGGGATGGCTTACCACAGTCGGATCGACCCACGTGCTCTGCGTACTTCGGAGGCACCAGAAGATGCAACGCAGGGCGTGTATCGCCTCTCGCATGCTATCTAGTAGTGTAGTTAGCCCGCATCAGACTCTGCACGAGCTGGCAAGAGACCACGAGTAACAGCTAAAACTAAACCCAGCCCATCAATTAGTGGTACGGCGCATGCGTTTACTTACGCGTGCGCGTCACAGTTCGCCGAGGGTTTGCACTTCAGTGCTTTTCATTTGATATTCAGTTATGTTCAACATTCTCGACAGAGACACCGTGATCACTGCGGAAACCTTGGAAGAGTCGTAAAGGAAAGTCACCAGCTTGACGATCCACTGAAAGACACAGAGCGGGAGCGAACACATGTTCGACTCCGAGGACGGGAAAATGGACTACTCGAAGGCGGTGACCTTCACCGATTCTGAGACTGAGTATCAGTCAAAAACAAAGGCAGTGGAGGTATCGGGGAGGACAGAGAATTTCCTCGAGGAGAAATGCACTTCAAGAGTACAAAACTACGATAGAAAGTGCAGAACAAATACCCACTTCCCAAGGTGCCAGCCACTGACCCCACAGTTGGATAATAACGCATCGTTTGGTGAGCGAGTGCGAGTAGTCAACATTTTGCGCGTGTATTTAGAATCACACATGACGGTGCGAGCATTTCAATATTTCATGTGTATTTAGAATCACGTAAACAATAATTATATGTATGTTGGTCTGTGTGTCTTACAGTTAAATAAATCAAGGCACCTGAAAACCAGCTAGCCCGAGTGGTTGTTTGACTCGCTGGCACCTCTGACCTAGCTCTTAGAGGCCCACACCATTTCCTACAAAAATCATTTTTTCCTTAATTCCTCTGGGGGAGGTGTGTCTGCTGTCCTTATTTCCCCCGAGTCGCCATTATGTCGAAAAACTTGTCGCAAGTCAAGTAAGTACTGATGGTACAGAGAATGGTGTTTAGATAAGGTCCTTGTGCTGCGTAGCACTGCATGGAATATGTCTAGTTTCACTTGGTGTTGGAACCAAAGATTGATCTTAATTTTCTTTTTCTTTCGTTTTGATTTGTTCCCCTTGTTCCAGAGTAATACTGTGCAGGTCTTCAAGAAGGGTTCTCACTTGCTCCAATGAAGTTCCTTTTGTAAACTGCCACTTTATCCTGCTTCATGACAATAAACATGCTGCCATATTGTGTCACCCAAACATTTTTCACTTCTGCTGCAGCCAATGTTCGAGGCAATCTTAAACGCATGGTCAAAACTAATTGTTCTTCCAACAATGATCTTCTCTATTTCATGAGGTATCTACTTTAATTATCGAAAAAAAGTCACAAAAAGACACTGTTGCTAGGAGATTTGGAAAGTAAAGTATCTGAAAACCTCTGAGTCTCCTTGCTGTCTGCTTGAGTGTTAATGAAATGCTGGTGCAAATGATAATGAGAAATTCCTCTAGCATAGGTTTCCATCCTTCTCTCAAGAACAAGACTTTCGATTGCATAAAAATCCATTCCATTCCCTACCAATGATACACACATCCCTGGAAGCTCTCGACAAAAATCAGGTTAATGAAGAAGTACAAAGGGATAACACTTTTTATAGTAAAGCTTTTCAGGATTATGGGATCATGTGCTAAAAGGCGATGGTTATTGCAGCAGACATTGACCGCACTAACAAGATATACAATGTTATCCATTCTCTGAAATACTCTTGGCCCTCTGCTTACTGATGACCCATCGTTCCAGTACATGAATGTGTAAGGTGAGCCACAAATGACACATCTTTGCAGTAGGTCTTTGACTACCTCATGATGAGTTACGTTCGGGTTCCATAGTAAAATGAATGGTTGCAGAAAATCCTTTAGTTAGTGTACACCTCTTTGAAACCAGGTACTGGTAGGATGTGTAGAATACTAACTGCCTGCCCTATAAAAACATTAAAAATAGCCAGGTGATAGTTTAAATAACTTACCATGTTCTGTTGGAAACTTGGCAGTAAGTGAGAGTATAAAGCAATGGACTCTTTCAGGGAGAGTGCAATCAGCTTGTTAGAGTATGAAAATTGCAGTAAGATACACAGCCAGTGAAATCACACCTTTATCCACGCACTGAAGCTAGCTCGCGATCGTGGCGCGCAGTGCGCATGCACACTCACTGGTATGCGTGCAGAACCATTCATTCTGCGCATGACCACGCGCGGCAAGATGTTGGGTAGAGCGAGGTGTGATAACAAACGAATGTCCGATGTCTGTTTCTACCTCTTTGCCGTGTTCAGGCACTTTGGTAAGCATTAAATTATGTGAAATATGTCGTGTGTCTAACATACACAAAGGCGCATACTTTGGCCTGCCAGCGGATGTCTGCCATGTAACACATTCTACGTTGACAACGATCCACCAGCCGTTGGAATCCTGCATAAGAATGGCAAGTAATCTGAACTGAGAGGAGACTTCTCGATCAGTTTAGAGTCTCTGGTGGAAGCTGCTGCGAATAATTTCCATGATACTGTGCCTATGAAACCAATATTCTTCTCCCCCTAAGCCGTTGCTTTTTCTCTATGGAAATGGCATCATTTAAGGTCAAGTTCATGAAGCAGATAAATAGCTCTTTCGGAAGTGGTGGAATGGCTTTGGCCATGAATAAGGGAGAGTTCGCCTCTTTTCTGATGTTTTTGAAATCAAATATTTTAGTCAACGAATGCCTATCCACAATGCAGCTAAAGTTATTGGGCAGCAGCCCTGTGGTCATGTGTGGGTGATGGGTAAAGATATTCAGGTTAGCATATCATTTGCTGCACTCCAACCCAACATAGACTGTGTTAATAGTGTGTTGATCAGTTTGTTGAAATCACCAGTTTTACTTCACCTTCATCCTGTCACCTGCTAAAGATTGCGGATGATGGTAGTGAGCTAACGAGTGAGGATTCCAAATACATTTGGTTGGATCCTGCACTCTTAGGGGATATAGGAAATGTGCCCTCAAGTGATGTGCTGCCATCTATTGAATTACCTCTCAGTAATTCAGCGAACCCACTGGTTCGCCTACTTTCACTGATGAAAGTTGCCCTTAAGCACAACTTTACTAGGAATGCGCACGCGCATATTTTGCCTCGCACCTGCCAGCCAATGCGTAAACAATCCGACTGAGGGTGCTCGTGCGCACACTCTACTGACTGCGCGCGAAGCCAGACTTCCTACGAATCTGCACGCACAGCGGAAGCTAGACTTCCTACGAATGACGGAAGTTGACATTCCTAAGCGTGACTAATTTACATTCTTAAGCGTGACGGCCACACACGTACGTACGTACACATATCGCGAGAATACAACCCGGAGTAGTTGCCTCGCACTAATGCGCTCGGCAATTAAGCAGTAGTCGGAGGAGTAATGTCTCTGCATTACCGGAGTATCATCAACGTAAGTTATTCACAAACTGTGTGCATTCAACAGCCAAGTTCCACAATACAGCTGTATTCTGGGTGTCCAATTGTCGTTTGTATGGGCCCTGCAGAGACAGGGAAATCGACATCAATAAAGGCAGCACTTTCTTTGACAGGTAAAATTTTATCACCTGGTTTCATTATACACATATCATCCAATTGGCAGGTTC